TTAGGAGCGCCACGCTCGCTCAAAGGTGCCTGCGTGACCGCGTGGCTGACAACATCGAACGCCTTCTCAAGCTCCGCTGCAGGCACCCAGAGGTCAGTGTTGTGCCCATGCAGCTCCTCGTGCAATAGGCCGTCTGCTAGCCCGCCAAGATCGCAACTTCCCGCGAAGGTGCAGGCGAGTAGGAGGAGGAGGAGGAGGAGGAGGAGGAGGAGGAGGAGGAGGAGGAGGAGGAGGAGGAGGGGGAAGGGGAGGAGGAGGAGGAGGAGGCGGAGGAGAAGGAGGCGGAGGGGGGGGGAGCGAGGCGGGGGTGTGGAACGGAACATCGCCATCGTCATGCCAAGCGTCACGGCTTCGATCCCAGACGGCCCTGCGAGGCCGACTCTTCCCCCGAGGCGGGCCCTGCACCCCGAACCGTCCTGCGACGCACCCAGAAATCCGGCGAGTAACCCTAGAGGCCGAAAGCGCCGACATTAGGGGAACGAGAAAATGCATAAACATAAAAACTCGAAGTCCGCGCGGATTTCTTGTATCCGCGCTGGACCCTCTCCCTGGCGCGCGGAGCGCGCCAGGGGCGGCGACGCCAGGGGGGCCCAAGCGCGGATCCCAGAAACCCGCGCGGAGCGCCAAAAGTTCATGTGTTATGGCGTTTTTTCTTCTCGGAGAGACCTAGAGGCCGCAAACGCTGACATCCTCCGCGTGGTGCTTACTGTTGCACCGCGCCGGAAGCGTGGGACCCAGGATGCCCGCAACTCGGTCTGGAGATGCCCCGCAACGTGGCGCCCGACGGCCGCGCCCGCCCGCCCTCCCCTCATGCAGGGACCCCGCGCCTGTGGGTCGGCGCTGGCATGCGCCTCTCGAAGGTGCGCCCGCCGCGGGGGCCTGGAAAGGGCGGGGGAGGAGGAGGAGGAGGAGGAGGAGGAGGAGGAGGAGGAGGAGGAGGAGGGGGGGAGGAGGAGGAGGAGGAGGAGGAGGAGGAGGAGGAGGAGGAGGAGGAGGAGGAGGAGAGGAGGGAGGAGAGAGGGGAGGAGGAGGAGGAGGAGGAGGATGAGGAGGAGGAGGAGGAGGAGGAGGAGGGAGGAGGAGGAGGAGGAGAGGAGGAGGAGGAGGAGGAGGAGGAGGAGAGGAGGAGGAGGAGGAGGAGGAGGAGGAGAGGGAGGAGGGAGGAGGAGGAGGAGGAGGGAGGGAGGAGGAGGAGGAGGAGGGAGGAGGAGGAGGAGAGGAGGAGGGGGAGGGGGATGGAGGAGGAGGAGGAGGAGGAGGAGGAGGAGACGGAGGAGCAGGAGGAGGGGAGGAGTAGGAGGAGGAGGAGGAGGAGGAGGAGGAGGAGAGGAGGGAGGAGGAGGAGGAGGAGGGGAGGATGGAGGAGGAGGAGGATGGAGGATGGAGGAGGAGGAGGGGGACTAGGAGGAGGAGGAGGAGGAGCAGGAGGAGGAGGAGGAGGAGGAGGAGGAGGAGGAGGAGGAGGAGGAGGAGGAGGAGGGAGGAGGAGGAGGAGAAGGAGGAGGAGGAGGTGGAGGAGGTGGAGGAGTAGGAGGAGGCTGGAAGTTTTGTGGCACCTCTGGCGGGGCTCTGGTTGCTCGTCCACCACGTCCCCTTCCCGAGGGGGACGAATAATGACATAAGCATAAACAACTCGCAGGTCCGCGCGGATTTCTCGTATCGGCGCTGTGGCTTCCTGGCGGCGCCTCCGGCGCCGTCCCTGGCACGCTCCGGGAAGGAAGTCCAGCACCGATCCGAGAAATCCGCGCGGACCTCCGAGTTGTTATGTTCATGCCATTCTTCGTTCCCCCATCCCCGGAGGGAACAAGCGGGGTCGACTGCGGCAAAGACGACGACGACGACGACGACTCGTCCTCCTCGTTCTCCATCCTCTTCCCCAAGCAGCCTTTGCATCTGCGGCTCTCGCGTCTCTCATGTTGAGCAGGGACCGACCGTCCCGGCATTCCTATAGTCCTACCGTGATATGTTCTTAGAACCCACAAAATGCTATAATTACCAGAAGCGATGTTTTAGAACGTGCACCCGGTGTATTAAGACAAAACAGACTCCGCCAGATATGCTCTAAGAACACTCCGTGGAAACCACAAGAGGTCTTTAGAACACTGCTTGGTTGGGCTAGAGGCGAGCCAGACCGCTCCGCCACTGCTTGCTCATGCGCACCGTGGGGGTGCGCGTGGGTCCGGCCAGCTCGTGGCCGCCCGCCGCCGCCGCCCGTCTGGGCCCGTGCGCCGGTCCGGCCGGCGTGCGGCTGCCCGTCGTCACCGCCCGTCTGTGAAGGGGCCCTGGGACACACACAAATAGATACACACAAATAAAACAATATCCCATATTCATATATTTTCTGGGTTTTTGTCTTCCCCTCCACTTCCCATTTTTTCCTATATTTTCTGGGGAATCGACGATTAATTGTGTTTGTGTATTTTTTCCCTCCTGAATCTGGCGCGCGTTCGCCCGTCGCCGCCGGTCGCCGCCGCGCGCCGGTTGCAATTCTGATCGTGCGAGCCTCGCAAGTTCTTCGTTCTCGAGAAATGAAGATCCCCCCTCCTCGGCGCTATCAGCCCGCCATTGGGTATGGCAATTTGCGTATGACTCTGCCCCATCGTTCGCCTTGCATACGAAATCGTATCATCCCAGCCCCGCCAGCATTCCCCCCCCATCCTCTGCAAAGAATGGCGTGCGCATGCGCCCGTTAACTTTTCTATATTACAAACCATGGCCCAAGGAACAGCGGGACGCGGTGCACGGACACGGTACACACGCGCGCGCTGTCGCGCGCACCTGCCGGAATCCCTCAAACAGCTAGGGTTTCGTAAAAGGTTTCAAAATCGAGTGTCCAGAGAACAAATGGAAACACATGGTTCTGCAGCATCCGCATTCGAAAAAAAAACGCGCGCGATCTGGCGAATTTGCATCACAGTAAAATCGCAGTTCCCCGAACCATTTCGACCAAGCAGGCGTACCGCGCGCGCGGTTCGATATCATTCGAACGCCCTTGCGCGCGTGCGGGAGGGGGGAACGGTCTCTGTCAAATAACAACATGCGGGCCACTCGCGCGCGTCGGCCACACGCGCATGTCGAACTCTTTCCAAGATGCACCGATGCGATGACACGATCATCGCAGCCGGCGTGATCAGCATCGTCGCCGTCGTTGGCTTTGCCATCGTCGTCATCATCATCATCATCATCATCATCATCATCATCATCATCATTATCATCCTCATCATCGTCACCATCAGCGTTACCATCATCATTCGGAATCGACATGATACCGCGCCCTCCCAAGTCACCGACTCAAACTGAAGTGCCCGCGGTCAGCGCGGCCTGCGAGACGCGATGGGCAGTGCCCAGCGGCCAGCGCCACCGCGGTCGCGTCGGCCGCGCGCCACGCTGGCTGACCGCTGCGCGCGCATGAATTCGTGGACTTGCGCGGCCGCAAACGTGGCCGAGCCAACACAAAACACTCATTGCAGTCGCCGCCGCATGTGTCATGCAAACCAAGATTGTGGTCGGTGGCTGGGATGATTGCGCGAGTTGTGGTCTGACAACTCCAAGTTCTTCGGCTTGTATTGCCCTCTCTTGAGAAAAAATCCACCGCCCTCCCGAAGCCGGGCCCCCCCCCCTCTTTGCGGAATGGAGGCCCAGACGGCCCCACGAGACCTCCAAGACCCGCCCAAAGGGCCCCAAGCGGGCCCCAAGAATGTCCCAAGAGGGCCCCAAGAGGGCCAAAGATGCATCCAACATTGGGCCACCGAAGGGGGGTGGATCTACATTTAGCATCCCGTCGTTTTGAGCCATCGGACCCAGGACGCGACGCGTCCAACGCAACAGCCATCGAGTGACACGTCCAGGGCCGGAGGCAGCCAGTGACGCGCGAGGGCAGCACGTAGCCAGCGGCGCGTCGGGAGGAACAGGCAACCAGCGACACTTCGCGCAGGAGGTCTGGAGATCGTTTTTGGATGGGCTGGTGGGGATATTTTTTTTTCAGCGGGCAGACGCGTAAAGCAGTCGCCGAGAGGGGGGTCCGGGGCACGGTCCAGCCTGATTAACTACCGAACCACGCGCGAGACGGCCGGCCCAGCACTCAGAATCGGCTGCCGGGGGGCTGCTGCAGGGGGGAGCTGGAACAACTGGTGGGGATACGCGAAGTGTCAGGAATTTCAGACCACAAGCCTGACTCGTACGTGTTTGTCGTATTGCGCTCCAGGAAGCATGATGCCTGCGCCTCGCACCTTGGTGTTTGGTCTAAATGATGAGCGTCAGCTGTGTTTGCACCGAGGTATCACTAAGGCACTGAGACTTAGTATGCCCTGCGTATGTTTCCTCGTGGTGTCATCCCTTCAACCCTGACGTGGCAATATCTAAGCAACTGGGTCTCACAAGCACAGTGTCACGCATACCAGGGTCGGCAACATCATGTGATGCAACGCTCCGATGTGGTATGGCTTGCTCTGCCATGCCATTCTCGCCTTCTGATCTGTCATTGCACGTTTTACTATGACATGGCGATTACATACGCGCTGCCGCCACATCATGATGCATGTCGGTGATACGCCAATCGTATGTAGCATACAACACTTGAGCATGGCGTGACACACTAGTGTATGATGCCGTATGATGTGCTGTCTTATGCGCACCTGTCTGCACAATGAAACGTTCCATCTTGGCATGAGAAACAATATCGTGCAATCTTGTACTGCGCCAGATCGCGAAAAATACAATGAAAACAAAAACTGCCTGACGATGCAGACGATGAAGAAGAGGCTGATCTTGAAGTGCCCCACATGCCTGAATGAGAGAACCATGTCTGTACAGAGTAGCAGAAAGGGCAACAGCGTTTAAGAACAGGTATGTGAAAAGGGACCGTTAAAGCGAATCGGAAGGAACCAAATTGTTGCAGTCGACTAAGAACGAGATGCGGCCGGGGCACAAGGATGGTCTGGCAGCGAAAAACAAGAGCACCTGCGACCGCGCCTGGGGACAGTGCAGGAACCCGTAGCCAATTGAGCCAATAAGCTTCGCAATCTCCCAGCGCTCTTCGTTCACATTGCACTGCAAAACTCAATCACATCCACTGCGCACAGCTGAAGGAGCGAGTATGGGTTGTAAAAGCATCGAGAACCAATACCATCCCACCATGACCTCCAAGAAATTCACACTGCTGCTCATTATGTCCCGATCACTTTTGTCGTGTCGATGCGGATGTTGCTCCAGAAGGATGGTCCATAACAAGATCCCTGGACTTCCTGACCATATGGCCCATGCCCATCCGTGGGTCCTGTGCTTCGAACGTAGCCTACGACTCACCAGAAGCGAGGACCTCGAATGGAAGCTGCTCAAGCAAGCTGTGCCATGATGCAATGCTGACGGGTAATGCTCAAACAAACAATGCTCAACGGAAATAGGAATGGACACGATTTTGCACCAAACGACGGGCACCAAACTCTCGCCCCCGCCCAGGGGACCGGTTTGCCGCCGCGGATCGTTCTCTGACGGCCCCCGAGACCCCGAAGCGGCGATCCGTTCAGAACAATGGAAGCCTTGCGGTGCAAGGCCTTAGAGGCGGCGGCACGCAAGAGTGACCTCCGGTCTATGGCTCCTCGATCGCAGCATGCGGTGCGGCAGGCGACGGCAGCGGCCTGCGCGCTCGAGCTCGGGGCTTGGGGCTTGCCCTCCTCCGAAATCCGGGCTCCCCGATAAGCCGCGCACCGACTGGCCACTCCAGCGCAAAGGGGCCACTCCTCGCGTCTCTCCCCCTGACTCCCTCTGCGCGTGGCGCCGGTTTTGGGGCCACAAAGCGGGCCTCGGGCGGCCGTCTAGGGCGATCCGGGCACCTCCGGAACGCTCCTGTCCATGATCCTCAGGACGTGTGTTAGCCCCAACGTGTGTGTGTGTGTGTGTGTGTGTGTGTGTCCACCGAGGCCCGTCGATACGACGCGGGCGATGTAATGATCTACTGGTTGGGCTGAAGGGGGTAAATACACATTGGGCTAACACACGTCCTAAGGATCATCGATCCTGGCGAGGCTTGTGTTGCTCCCATCGTACTTAAGAACCACATTCCAGAAACAATTTCGAGCACCCAGGAAAGTGTCAAAGCAGTGTCGAGCGAGTATCGCTCCCCAGGACCCGACACCTGAAAACCCTCGCTTTCGGAATGTTCTTGGTGCTCGAAATTCTGTCTGGTGACCAAGGCTAGAGTAAGTAGACTGGAACATCATAACTTGAGCAGTGAGCAGGGACCGGCCGTCCAGGCATTCCGATAGGCCCACCACGAAACGTTCTTAGAACCCAGAGATGTTCTAATAACAAAAGCAATGCGCTTAGGACACAAACCCGATGTGTTAAAACAAAACGGTCCCAGCCAAAGATGTTCTGAGAACATTCCGCATGATCCAAAAAAAGGCTCTTAGAACATTGTTTGGTAGGCTCTTGGCACGCCAGGACACTTCGCCATTGTTTGAATAACCCGAGACTGGAACACCACCGAGGAGGAGTAAGTAGGTTGGAGGAGGAGGAGGAGGACGAGGAGGAGAAGGAGGAGCAGGACGAGGAGGAGCAGGAGGAGGGTAAGGAGCAGGAGGAGAGAGAGCAGGAGGAGCAGGAGGAGGCATCGTAACCCGAGGCTGGAACTCCACCGAGAACACCCCCGAACCCCACCGAACACCGCCGAGGCGGAGCGTAAAGGCCGCACGCCCGCGGCGGCTCCGCGCGCGGCGCGCGCACGCGCGCGTCGGGCGGCGGCCCTGCGCGCGCGCGCGGGGGGAACTCCTGGCAGTGGGCGGCGCCCGCGACCAGCGCCTCCCGCCGCGGGCGCCGCGAGGGGCTAGACTTACGTTGCTCCCATCGTACTCAAGCAACACATCCCAGAAATATAAGTTCGAGCACCCAGAGAAAAACATCGAAGCTGTGTCGGGCGCGAAACGTAAAAACCATCAAGTTTCGGTACTCTCTTGGTGCTCAAAATTCTTTCTGGTGGTCATGGCTGAAATAGGTTGGAACATCATCAGGCTAGACAAGCGAGTTCCACTACTCGCAAAATAACTACTCGCAAATGGCCTGGATCCGCCAGGGGGGATTCACGATACCTTAGATCGATGCAGGCATGTGTTTGCTTCAGGCGTTTGCAAGCAGGCTCTCTGCGAGCAATGGACAGCGCTCGGTGAGGGGCCGGCGGGGCCGGCCGGCCCGAGTGCAGCGGCTGCCTGCCAGAGACTGCCGATGCGGGGAGCTTTGGGAGCAAGCCTGAGGCAGATGAGCAGCAGCCGTAATGTGAGCGTTTTTGTTTTCCTTCGGCGTTGCGACATTTCGGGGATGGACAGACCCCCCTTTAGCACAACGTGGTTGAGTGAAAACGACCTGAGGCCCAAACCTGGCGGGCGCGAGCCTGGAAAACAACGGCCACGGCGCCCTCCTCGAGAACCGAAAACGGACAATTCACCAATCGACGTGTCACTGCTGGGGTTTCTGTCCACCCCCGAACATTGGGCGGAGGAGGAGGAAGAGGAGGCGGAGGAGGAAGAGGAGGATGAGGAGGAGGAGGAGGAGGGAGGAGAGAAGAGGGAGGAGGTTTGAGGGAGGAGGAACACTAGGATGGAGGGGGGCGGGGGCGGTCTGCCTCGGGACATCTGCTTCGCGCGTCTCTCTGCAGCAGTGCTACGCCTCCCCACCCTCGCGCACGGCCCCTCCGCGCGCCTGGCGCCGCCAGGCGGTGCCACTCCCGGGGGGGGGGTCGCTCCTCGATCCTCGCGCTGCTGTATTCTGTTGTTGCATGTTTGAGCGCCGACGTGGGGAACCCGTGGGGACGTTCTGGAGCGCTCCTGGAGGCTTGGGGATGACTTCGAGCCTGCCAAATGTCTCTCAACATCCCTGGAATCCTCTGGTTTCGACGACCGGAGTGGGTACGGAAAAACTGGGTACAATGCCCAAAAACAAAGGTTGCCCAAAAGTGACAGCGGCCGCTGTTGGGCAGGCGGCTTTCTGTCTTCAAAGAAAGACGTCCGCGGCGGCGCGAACAGCGAGTCGGGCTCAAAATCATCAAGAACTGCTGCTGGACACTGTACCCACTCTTTCCGTGCCCAATTCGATCGTCCCGATCAGTGGATCTCTGGGGTCCTGTCTCTAGGGGGAAAACAAACCTACCTCGCTTTTGACCACCCTCGCTTCCAAGAGATACCAAGCGATGCCAAACTACGGCCTGTACTGGTCAGGTCGCTTGACGAGGAGGCGCGTGGTATGACTTGGTTTTGCCTGGAAGCGAAAGCGGGGTAGGCAATTCACGCTCTGAGTCTCGAGGATAAACCTGATCAGGGGATCCCTGGGGTCCTGAGGGCGCAACCTATGGCGCAACGGATAGGAGCGGCGGTCGTATCCATGTGGTGAGCCAGCGCTGGCTTCCTGGAGCCCTCGCGTCTGACGTCGCTGCCATCCGACCCCCGCAGCTTGCCTGCTTTGCAGAGGAGGAGGAGGAGGAGGAGGAGGAGGAGGAGGAGGAGGAGGAGGGGGAGGGAGGGGGAGGAGGAGGAGGAGGAGGAGGAGGAGGAGGAGGAGGAGGAGAAGGAGGAGGAGGAGGAGGAGGACGAGGAGGAGGAGGAAGAGGAGGAGGAGGAGGAGGAGGAGGAGGAGGAGGAGGAGGAGGAGGAGGAGGATGGGGTCCTGCCTCGAGGATACAAAAGCTCGAGGTCTTTGGGGTCGCCGTGGGGCCCCCTCGGGCCTCCCGTGGCGCCCCGCTGGCTCGGCGCCCGCCTCCAGAACGCCCCCCGGGAGCGGTCGGGGGGGAGGCTCTTTCGGAGGGGGGCCGTAAGCCCTTCACCTTCTGGGAAGCAGCAGTTGGCGGCGCGCACAGGGAGGTACAGTCGGGGCCTTGACCTGAGGAACCCAACATGAGGAACGAGGCCCCTTTTCTCCATAAGTTCAACTCCGATGTCCGATCGAAAACCTAAAGAAAATCCAAGGCAAGCTGCGAAACACTTAAGGAACGCGGAGCCCCTCCCCGACGAAAAGGGTTCCTTCTTCAGGGCCCCGACTGTAGGGGGAGTGGGGAAGGCTTCTTAGAAGGAGGTCGCTTCTTAGAAGGCGCGGGCCTTACGTCTACAAGCAAGGCCCGCGCCTCCTAAGAAGCCGGGTGCTCCGAAGGAGCCTGCCCCCCTCCCCCTACCCTCTCCTCTGCGCGTGGCCGAAACAATACGGTTTTCGTTCGCAATGTCATGCGTCGAGGGGCCGTTGGCGGGTTTTAGAACCATGCTGCACAGAATTATCCGAGACGGACCCCTCCCAGGACAACGGCGACCGAACATGCCTGGCAGCGATCTGGAAATAGGTCGCACCAACAAACAACAGTAGCACTCTGAAAGCAGGTGAGGCCACACCAAAACGCAGAAACATCAAGCGCTATCGAAATGGACGTCGGTAGCGCGCTACCGGAAAAGAATGGGCGAAGCGAAAGTCGCCTGCTGACAACTACTGGCATCTGTTGTGGGCGCTACCGCAATTCGATCTCTGGCAGAAGTCATAAGAACGACTTCGAACCCAACCAGAATGCAGGGATTCGATCTGAGCGATACCGCAACTCAAACATGTCAGAAATTCAATCCCACTATTTCTCCTCCGCCTGCTCCTCCTCATCCTTCCCCCTCCTCCCTTCTCTCTACTCCCGGCTCCTCCTCCGCCCTCCTCCCCGCGCCCCCGCCCTCCCTCCATATATAGTACTCTATTTCCTTGGAAGGAGCTCCTCCCTGCCGCAACCCGAGGCTGGTCGAAAGGACGGGCCAGGCGTTTGGCCTCAGACTTGAGTCAACCTGGAGGCCGTCTTGGGCTATCTGGGCAGGCGCCCCCAGAGTCGAGTCGACAAATCGGATCGGCGATCGAGACGAATCGGATCGGCCAACGTCGACAGCCGAGTCGGGAGACGTGGAATCGGCGGAACTCGGCAACCTAGGAGGCCTCCATGAAGACATCGGAGGCCAAATCGGAACCCGAATTCGAATCTAATCGGAATCGGAAG